CTTATTATACATGTGGGAGAGGAAGGGACCTGAGCTTGGGGTATCAAAAGTAATGATAGAAGGGAATGATGGATCCAAGAAATATTTCCAAAACAGAGCTCTAGGACTTGGTGATAAATGGAAAATAAAAGAGGAAGGAGAAGATAAACGTGGCTCTGAGGTCTTAAACATGAATAACTGAGAAAAGTCAGGGCCTTGGACCAAAATGGTGGATGCGTTAGGGAGTGGCAAGTTGGGAGGGTGAGGACAGGTGATAGGGGTTTGGTTTGGGCAGGTGTACCTGGATCCAGAGTTGACTTTTGATCATCCTCAATTGAAAGTGATATTAGGACATCCAGATGGAAATGCTCAACAGGTGGTTAGGTACGTGTGAGAGAGGTCAAGTCAGGAAAAAGGAGATAAAGGTTAGAGAGGTATCTACATAGAGGTGAGAACTATGGAGACAGACCTCAATGCATCTCCCGTATTTCTGTGTGGAGGGTGAGAGTGCCTGTAGAATGGAGTCACAAGGAGAAAGACCCAGTTATGGTCTGCAGGAAGATGAGTAATTTGCAAAATAAACAGGGGAATATATTCCTAAGTGTCTTAGTTCATGTAGGCTGGTTTAACAAATTACCATAGAGTAGGTGGCTTATAAACAACAGAAATGTATTTCTCACATTCTGGAGACTGGGACTTCTTAGACCAAGGTGCCTGCATGGTTGGATTCTGGTGAGGTTCCTCTTCTGGGTTGCAAGCTGCTGACTCCTTGCTGTGTCCTTACATGGTGAAAGGGGACATACAAACTCCCTTGGGCTTCTTTCATAAGGGCAGTAATCCCATATAGGAGGGCTCTGTCCCCATGACCTAATCACTTTCCAAAGTTCTCAATCCTTAATGCCATCATTTTGGGGGTTAGGATTTCAGCATATGAATTGTGGGGCTACATAACCATTCAGACCATAACACTAAGGAAAGCATCAGTTTTAGGAAGATGAGGAGTGGACAGGGCACTGCTCACATACATTAAGACTGTATTTCTAAAAGACAATTTAATTACAAAAGAAAGGTGTTCATCATACATCAATTATATACAAAATTTTGTATTTATATGTATATATGTATAGGATCTCAATTATGTATACATAAATATAGAGAGAAATCAAAATGTTTATAATGTTTATCTTTAGGTGGTGAGATTTGGGAGGATCTTAACTAAAAGTGATGTTATTATTTAATCTTAAGAAGAAAGCGAAAACATTTCCATACCTGTATCTTTCATATATATATATATTTTTTACAATAAATATACTTTATTCTTGTTTTTTCTTTGAGACAGGGTCTCATTCTGTCACCTAGGCTGGAGTGCAGTGGCATAATCACCGCTCACCGGAGCCTCAACCTCCCAGGCTCAGGCGATCCCCTTGCCTCGGCCCCCACAAGGTAGCTAGGACTATAGGTGTGTGTCACTGTGCCTGGCTCATTTTTTTAAAAAATTTTTTGTAGGGATAGAGTTTTGCCATGTTGCCCAGCCTGGTCTTGAACTCCTGGGTTCACTGTTTATGATCAAGTGATCCACTGGCCCTGGCCTACAAAATTGTTGGGCTTATAGGTGTGAGCCTCTGTGCCTGGCCGCACTTTATTCTTATTATCAGAAAAAAAAAATAATTTCTTGATATCAGAAGAAGAAATGCCTTATGGGCTACATCATCTCACTTAATGTGCCCACAATCATCTGATAGGCAGGCAGTAGGGTTCCCTATTTACCTGTTGAGGTAAATATGGATTAGGAGATGGAAACTGAGAAAGATGAAGGAACTCATCTCATTCACATCATAAGCAATGCCATGGTTCTAATCTGGTGATTAAGATACAAACTACTTATATACAGTCAATCAATTAAAATGTTATTTCAAAGAAGGGACAGAGATTTGGGTACGTGTTTAGCTGTGCAAGCCGCACATTAAGAAAAGACATTTGGCAAGAAGGGAGTTACTTGTGGCCTGCAAGAGTAGAAATACCTTCAGACAGCAAGAATAACAAGCACTTTCCTCTTGATGAGAGATGACTGTGGTGGGGAGATGGAGGCAGGCATAGAGCAGATGTTCAGAATTAGACAGTTCGCCATGGAAAACAGGACAGGTTATACTGGGAGTAACCACCCCCAATCTCAGTGGCGTAGCACAACAAAGATTTATATTTTGCCTGTGTGATGTGGGTCAGCCCTGGGCTTCATTGTGGTTACTCAGGCTCCGGCTGAAAATGATGTCATCTGAAATTGCTTCCACAGTCACCATGGCAGGGAAAGGGTAACATTGGAGTTGAGCGCTACCACTTAAATGTTTCTACCTGGAAATGACAGTGGTTTTAATCGACCAAAGCCACACCCAATTCAAAGGAAGAGGGGAAATGTGGTCCTACCATGTGCCTATAAGGAAGAGAACTAGGATATTGTGAAACCACCCTAATGATCACTGCAGCAAAACTACCCTAATGATCACCACAGCAGGGGAGATATTTTTTGCTTTCTAAGATTCTTGTTTTGGCGCAAAGGAAACAATTTTCAGGACTCTAGAATGTTAAACACAGGAAGACCTCATGGGCATCATCTAGGAAATGAGATTCCAAGGGTATAGTGATTGTTTGCAAAAAGACAGAGAGAAACAGTAGTCATGCAAAAATTAGAAGGATGCATTCTGAGGCCAGTGCCCCACATGGTCCTGGTGTGCAATACTCACTGTCCAGGGCCACACAAATTGGGAAGAGTGAGGAGCTGGACATGGGAACTTATTGTAAAACTCTGTTTTCAAGGTATTGAGAGGAGCAGTTCTGTCTCATCTGATACTAGGAGTTACTGATGTTGGAGGCCAGTGCATCTCCATCAGTTACAACTCTGGATTCTGTCTCCCAGATGTCTCCCAGGTTTCTCCATGTGCTTGTTGCTGAAATGACTGGAGCAGCCTGAAATCATTACGCCAAAGTGTCATTTAAAGTTGGGTTAATGTAGAACTATCTAGTGCTTGCCCTGAGTGGTCCGGTGGCAGGTGAACTAAGAGTTGGAAACCCAACTGAGTAACACCGTGTCTATAGATTGCAGCTAGATCAGCTTCAATGAATGAGAGAGAAACTGAACAAATGAGAATCCAAGAGACCTCTCACTCCTCTGGAATCAATATTATGTTGAAATAAAGAACGATTAGTGACAGAAAAGGAATCATGAGGACACAGGCCACCTCATATGGAGTATCAGGCAGACTATCCGAATTGGCATACGGAATGATCATAATTTTTATTTTTATTTTTTTTTGGGCACTGCTATTGAGTGTATCAAAAAATAGAAAAAGAGAGGAAAACTAAAAACTGCTTTAACTTCATCACATATTGCTTTGGGCTTCTAGTTATATTTGTGATGTTCTGTGAACTTACATGAAAAACTAAAAAGTTTATTAATACTTATAAATTTTATATATTTGTAAAGTTAAAGAATAATGCAACTTATTCTACAGTTATATAGGGGTGGTTCTGTCACTTTTATAGGCTATTCTTTATATTCCTTGCTTTTTGAACTCTTTTTGGCTTTGGCTTTGATTTAAATTACATGATCATTAAGTTTCCTCTTTTTATCAGGGCAAAATGAAGGGTTTTCTGAATCTTAAAAGCGTGTAATTTACTTTGGATGTGAACTAAAATGCTTATTCTGAATAAATTCCATGTAAAACTGCAGAAATTGTGTAGAAAGTCTTTATGAATTGAAACTTAACATGTCATTGACACATTTTGAAGGGTGTTCTGTTGACTTTAGTGATGGATGAGCCTATTCTGCCAAGTTCAGCTGGAAGGGGTATTTTAGAAAGCCAAACATCAGCTCTGGAATCTAGAAACTTCCTGGAATCATGATTTTGGATCAGCAGGGTGGATACAGCCTGCATATGTGCAAGGGATGGCATTTCACCAGCTTGCTCCACGGAAGTCTTTGGAACGGAACCATAAACACCAGCCCTCTTTGTTGTGTGTTGGTTTTTAAGAGTCCCCAATGGTTTGGGGAGGATAAGGCTTTGCCTCAGGGCTCCCTGGTCTCATTTTTTGGGACCTGGCTGAAAACCCTGGTTATTTGATAGTCTGGCCTATTTCTATGATGTATTAGCACCCTATAAAAGTTACATGTCATTTATTTCAAGTTTAGAACCCTCTCAAACTTCAGGGGTAAACCAAACTTGAACCTTTTGTGGCTGGAATTCTGTTTACCTTTGGCCAAACCTTGCTTCCTTAATGTAAGGCTGGGAGGGGCTGGGAGGTGAGGTGAGAGGGACTCCTGAGTCTCCCTGGACATCGAATAGCTTTTACCAAACACAGCTTTGATACGTTAAAACAGGACTGAATCTGAAACACGTAGATTAACTTTCTGTCAAAGTACTCTGGGGCCTACACACAAAAGTATATTGTGTTGGGCAAAATGCATTTTGAGTGTTGCCTTCCTTCAACGGTGAGGAAGTATCTGAGACTTTTGCCAAACACAGGTTGAAATTGGGTCAAGCCACTCAACCCCTACTTCTAATAAACACATTAAATCGTTTTTATAAAGGTTATTGGGCAATCCAAATTTCTCCAAGGAGACATGTCTTGTGTTTGAAACATTTTTTTTAGGGTTTTTGTTTTGTTTTTTTATTTCCTTAGGTTTTGGGGGAACAGGTGATATTTGGTTACATAAGTTCTTTAGTGGTGATTTGTGAGATTTTGGCACACCCATCACCCAAGCAATGCACACTGAACCCAGTGTGTAGTCTCATATCCCTCACCCTCTTCCCACCATTTCCCCACCGAGTCCCCAAAGTTAATTATATCATTCTTAAGCCTTTGTATCCTCATAGTTTCAATGACAAAGAAAGAAAGGGCTACAAGACACAGTAGCCCAGTCCAAGGATCCCTATGATTCTTTTGTGTTTGTTGTTGGAACACAGGCTAGCAAGGATATCTCGCACTTGAATGGGAAAATAACACACAGAGCTCCATGTGCCTTTCAGATAGAGGAACTGATGAATGCACTGGAGAAGACCAGACAGGAGCTGGATGCCACCAAAGCACGCCTCGCCTCCACACAGCAGTCCCTGGCTGAAAAAGAAGCGCACTTGGCCAACCTCCGTATTGAGAGGAGGAAACAGCTGGAGGAGATCCTGGAGATGAAGTGAGTACCCATTGTTGCTTTTGTAGCCTCTCTCTTCTAGCCTCTCTTGAGGATGGGAAAGGGGAAGGGCTAGAGAAGATGAAGAAAGATCTCAGAGAAAGAAGAATTTAGCTAACACTTGCCTGGTCATTTCTGAAACGATGTATTTTATTTTTTATTTGTAACTTTTTGCATATTTCTCTCATCTGTTATTGAAAAAAATATAGATCCAGCACTAGGTTTTGTGTGTCTGTGTTTTGTGGACAGTGCTGGGATTCCTAGATCTGTTGCAAAGGTCTGATTCAGCCAAGAGGCTGAGGCCTCATTAAGCACAATGGTAATTTGAGCACTGCTCAGAGTTAAGTGGAAATTTTTCTGAGGAGGTATTTCCTAATTGTGACTATAACTTTGCTTATTATATTCTTTTCACTTGTGTACAATGCCTGGTTTGTGTTGGCTCTCATAGAATCTCAAGGTTGGCACCTCTTTGTTTAGAAAGTGAAATTCTGATTTGCTGGGCTTCTTAGGTTAGAAATCCCACACCCCCACCACACCCCACCCGAGTCGGGGCTTGGGAAGCTAAAGTGGGGAGATTGGATGGCAACCAATTGCTTCCTTTAATTTAATCAATGGTGTGCAACTGAGTGCTGGGAAATGGTCGTTCCTGTGGTCCTGTGACATACCCACCTACATTTCACTCTTATTTCATTCTCACAGTGAAATAGTATCATAGGAAGAACAAAGGAAAGAAAATTACCGAGAGATTTTAATAATAATCAGTTGTAGTCGTTCTGTCTGTAAAGAACTAGTCAAGTAGCATCTCTATGTTTTTAAATGAAATAATCACTAAGTTATAATTTAAATATAACTTTCCTCCTCAATAAGGGGAAACATACATAATTATGGCATCTTAAGCCTGTAACACAGACTTTGAAATTGGTGGCTAGGTATGGAAGTGACCTTATCATGACCCAGCAAGCCTTACACATGGTTAGCATTAAACTCAGAAGGCTTAGATCATGGAAAATATGGAATAAAATATTTTGAAGGATTTAATAATGAGGACAAAACATTTATTCCTCATCAACTACCTCAGTTTCTCCAAGACCAAAGAATAAATAGGTTTTTTTTTTTCACATATAAACCAGCATTTTTTTCTAATAAAAGGTAATATAATAACAACAGGTATTATTATACTCAGTTAAGAGGTAAGGGAGCCGATACTCAGAGAGATGCAAATAATTTGCTTAAGGCCATCTGGCCACAACAAAACCAAAGTTTTTTTACCTTAAGCTCCATTTCTGCTACTTAATTTTCTCGAGGAATTTATGTTAATTCATCAAGACTGGAGCGTTTGTCTGAGTACTGTGGTCATCATGCTGAGGAGAGCAGTGCTGGGCACATGGGAGGTGCTCAGTGATTGTTACCCACGACCGTGTCATGCATGTGGTAGGTGCTCAGTGGTTTGCTGAGTGAGTGACTAGGTTGAATGCTGGAGACTGAATTTTATGTAGTTAAGAATAAAAGTATTTTAAGTATCTGTGATGTTCTCACCATCAGTAACTTATTAACCCTATTAAAAGAAAACATGTTTATAAGCACAGCATACATAAAATATTGATGTTTGCCAATAATTACTATTGCTTAAAGGATTAACATATAATTAGTTGTGGAAGATGTGTATGAATTTAATTGACACTCAGAAAAATTATAACTGCCAATATGTGTGTAAACACTCAGCTAAGAAAGATCAAAAGTATAGTGTAATATTAAATCATTGAAGAAACAGCAATATTCAAAATGGAAAGTCCATTTATGAATGTATTCATGTTAGAATCTAAAGTTATGTCTTTTTATAATGTCTATATACAAAGTTCACAAAATGCTTTATTTGAGAAAGTTTCCATCTTGCTGATATTGACCAACAAAACTTCATATCCTAGAAAAAAAGATGTAATGTTATGATTTATACAAGAATACAGAAAGATTTGGAATTACATATACTTCCACCTTCGTTTTGGATTTGATTTTTGAATGGAGGTTAAAAATACTGAAATTCAACTTATGACTTAGTTTTACCCTTGGAAAATTTAGCATATGCTTTTTTTGCATCTTATTTTCACAATAAATGTAGTATAGAATAAAAAAATTATTAACAATAGCCAATACTAGTATTAGTGCATTAACAATAGGGGTCCATTGATCCCTTTGGCCTGTATTCTTTTCTGTTCACCTGTCCCTCTTCTGCCTCCCTGTGTGTTATATGTCAAGTCCAGCCTAGTTTTTTCTCCTTGTTTTCCAGCTGTTCTCAAGTAGTTAACTCTCCATCTCCTGAAGTGATTTATTATGCCATTATAAAGAAATTTTAATTACTTCCTGTTTATAAAAGGAGCATAGATTTCCAGCGTTTTGAGAGAACAAGTAATGGTGAAGTATGCTGGTTTGTGAGTCGTCAGACCCGGGTTGGAATCCTGTGGTTCCACCTGATGGCTGTGTGACTTGAGAGAATGCCCGTAGCCTCACTAACCTTCCAGTTTCCTCCTGAAATGACTTGCATGGGGGTGTTTGTGAGGAGGGGTTCTCAGAAGAGGGCTTGGCACACAGAAAATGATATATGTATGCAAATGGCGCTATCAGCCAATGAAAATATGTCCTTTGTTTAGTATACTTTGTGAAGAGTATCATTTATCTAAAATTTGGATTTATTTTTCTAAAACATATAAACTTTTTCCATGTGTATGTTTTCCCACTTAACTTCATGGTTTCAGATAGCACCTAACTAAGACCTCTTTTGGTGAATTGCCACATTATTGCTGAAGTGCTTAATCTGCTGCCACTGCAAAATAAATACAAAATTCCTGTGTTAATTCCTTTGGTGAAAGTAACAAAGCCTTGGTTCATTAAGCCCGATATGGACCCTATTCACTATTTAACTGCCCTGGAAGCCCAATCTGTGGGCTTCTGCTCTGGGACTCTGGGAGGGCTTAGGTACAGGGCAAGTATATTGACTGCGATCTGCAAGGAGAGGCACCAGCCTCTTGGGCTGTTCAAGTTCGCTCCTGATTTGATCAATCACAGTGTTTAAGCTGAGTTGACACACTGGTTACTTGACATTGAATTCATTTACATTTATGGGAACAGCCAGATGGGTATTATTGTTGGTGAATTATTATCATCTGTGCCAAGCATTGTTGGTTTTTTATTCAACGGGCACCTATCATCTTTAGACACGCATCTTTAGGTCAGGTTTACCCAGTTTCCAAACCCTGGTGGGAAGGGAGAGGCCTGTGGAGTTTAGAGGGAAGAGGGGTAGGGCCATGACTCAAGAGAAAGGAATTGTGATCTCATAACTCATTTCTGTCTCACTCCATAACATTAAAGATCACTCTCTGGTTGCCTCAGTTTTCTCTTCAGTAAAATGGAGGTGATAATACCCACTTGCTTACTCTACGGAACTCGTAGGGATAAGTTTTTTTTTTTTTTTTTTTAAAGTAACAAACTAAAATTAATATAAACCAGCATACGTGAAAGTGCTCTGAAACCTAAAAGGAGCTTTTGAAATGAGAGTTGGTGTCTGTGGAATTCATTGTAAACCCAATGGCACAGAGTTTTAGAATTGGAAAGCAGCTGGGTCCAACCTCCCAGGCTGCACAAGCCGGTCTTCCATTTCACAGGATTACTCTTAAGGAATTCACCAGGCCCTGGTGAACACCATTCCCACTGGATGCCATGGGCTCATAAGGTGGTGGTTCATGCTCCATGGCTCTTACAGGTAGCTCATTTGTCCTTATGTTGAACTGAAATGTCTTTCCATTTGTCTTGGTTTTTGTTCCAGAACTATATAGAATTTACCTGAACACCCTCCAAAGTTAGACATTTGTTTAGATATTTTTTAGGTGATACTGTTCATTTTAAAGGAAAAAAGAGGCAGTATGGAGAAACAATATGAAAAAATAAAATTACTCATGATCCTAACATGCAGAGAGGGACACTAATAGCATTTTGGTATATGCCTTTGCAAACGCTCCTTATTTTGTAAAGAAAATTGGACTGTACTTGCATATTTTGCAAATCCCTCTTCTTTGTGAATGTGAATAGCCTTCTATGTTGCAAACATAGGATTGTATTATTTTTAATTACTCAATGTACTGTCATATAGGTTTACGTCATTATTGGGCATCTGTCTTAGTTCCAGTATTTTGATAAGCATTCTGCTATTTAATTTTATTTTATTAACATATTTGTGAATACCTGTGGATTGTCAAGCTGTCGCAAGAAATAGTACAAAGAGGGTTCTCATACCCTTCAACCATTTCCCTGATTGGTAACATCTTGCATAACTAAAGTACAGTATCATGTGAGGAAGTTGATATTGGTGCAATCTATCAGCCTTCTTCAGATATCTCCTGTTTTACATGTCTGTGATTATTATTCCAATTTCTCCAGCTTTACACGCATTCATTTGTGTGTATGTGTGTATTTAATTATATCCACTCTTATCACACATGTAGATTTGTGTCACTCTCACCACCATCAAGATGCAGAACTGTTTAATTGTCACAATGATCTCTGGCCCTCTCTTTTTATAGTTACATCCACTCTTAGTCTGTTTCATTTTTACCCAGAGTTTTGTTTTGTGTTATATCATTGTGGGACATGTGCCACACTGATCTACATTTTCTCCTGCCATTCTTCTTTGGCTTCTCTTGTTTTAAATGCAGACTGGATTTAGAGTGAGTAAATATTGCCTGATTCTTCCAATATAAAAATTTCTCATGATGTGATTTTATTTTATTTACATTGGAATTTTCCCATGTTGGATATTGAGAATCTACCACATGGTAGGCACTCAAAAAGTGTTTGAAAAATGAAAGGATGAATTAATTAAAATGTGTAAATATTCACTGACGATCTACTGTATGCTGGGTACTGTTTTAGATGAACAAACTGGACCTTGTTAAGCTTGCATTTTAGTAAAATGAGTGAAGGAAACGAATGAACAAATCAATAAGCAAATAAAT